AGCGCGGGCTAAGTGATTGATGGCGGAGCGAGGGGGCGAGCCGACGCGGGCTTCCGCCGGCGGCGTCCCTTTCCCCTCGGAGAGGCGCGGGTGGCCGGGGCGCCGAGGGGCAGGCGGGGCGCCCGGGCTTGTGCGTGGTTTTGACTTGGTAAAAAATCACGACTTCTTTACGTCGTCCAAACTCTCCAGGAGATGGTTTCCCAAGACCCCCAAATTATCGTGGTGGCCCCCGGGGCTGAACCCGACTCTACGCAAGTCCAACGCACTGAGAACAGGGGAATCATTATCCGGATATTTTGGGTGGGCCCCAAAGGCGAGCTGCTTAGACGAACCTCGGTGAGTTCGGTCGTGCAGGTAGGATTTCAGCGCTGTTTCCCGCCCCGCTCTTCCCTCCCCGGCCAGGCGCAGCCGCGGCAGGCCCCACGTCTGGCTCCCATTTGGGCCTGGCCGGGCCGGCCCTCCCCAGGAACCGCACCTGGCGGCCGCCGCAGCTATACCCCGGCTCCCGCGCGGCACCGGGGGGCGCTCAGGCTCCGGCTGCCGCGACTTCAGGCGCCGCGCCTGCTCGGGCAGGTGGCGGCTGCGCGCCCTGCCCGGGCCCGGAGGTTCCTCCTTCCCCTACAGCTCCCCGCGGGACTCCGGGACCCCCGACCCCGCGCCGAACCACCTGCGCCCTCACTCTTGATCCGGCGCCCCCGCCGCGTAGCCCCGCGGAGGCGCTAGGGCCTGGGACACCGCCCACCTTTCTCGCTTCGCGCCCCCAGCGTGCGCGAGCCTAGAAACCCCTGGTTCCCCGGAACCCGAAAGGGGGAGCCCCCCAACACTTTAGAACGGAGACTCGGGATTTCTTTCGCATTCTGCCGCTCCCCGCCCCCAACCCAATCTCGGCGCGAGCACCCCACAGCCCCCCCCACCGTCGCCCCCGGACCCGGGGCCCCCCAGCCCCTCGCCCTCCCTCGCTCGAGCTGCAGGGGCGGTCCGGAGGGCGGGGCCAGCGCCCCGAGGGCGCCCATTGGCGCGGGCGCGGGGCCAGCGGGGCCCGAGCGGGCGCCGCGCCGCGGGGTGGCGCGGCTATAAGAGTCGGGCGTTGGCGCCCGCAGTTCGCCTGCTCTCCGGCGGAGCTGCGTGAGGCCAGGCCGGCCCCCGGCCCCCCCCTTCCGGCCGCCCCCGCCTCCTGGCCCACGCCCGCCCGCGCTCGGCCCGCCAGCGCCTCCATCCGGCCGGCGGTCCCGCATCGTCGCCGCCCGCCGCCACGCTGCTGACTCCCGCCTTGGGCGCCGTCGGCGGGGCCGCGCTCCGCCGGGCCTGCGGATCCCCGCCGCCTCCTCTTCCATCTACCTCAACGCCCTCCCTGCTTCGCCCGAGGAGGCGGCCCCCCCCGCAGGCAGTCCGGCTCGCAGGCCGCCGGCGTTGTCATCCCCCGCGCTGCCCCCAGCCCTCCCCGGCGCGCGGCCCACCGCTTCCCTCCTCGCCGCGTCCCGAGCGGCTCGGCGCCGCCACCGCCACCGCCAACCCCCCCACCCAGGGCCCGGGCTCGCGACGGCAGAGGGCTCCGTCGGCCCAATCCGAGCTGGGCGCCCGCGGCCCGGGCGATCCTCCACTCCGCCCCCCTCAGCACCTTCCCCGGCCCTCGACGTTGCGCCCTGCCCTCGCTTCTCTGTGCTCCCACGTCCCCTCTCTAGCCTCTGGTCCCGGCGCCCGCTCTCTGCTCTCCCGCAGCCTGCCCTTCGCTCCCTCCCGTCCCCCCCCAGCTCCTCGCCTCCGACTCCCTCCCCCTCCACGCCCGCCCTCTCGCCTCGCCGTCCCGAAGTGGATTAATTATACGCTTTCTGTTTCTCTCTGCGCTGTTCTCCCCCGCTGCGAGCCTGCCCGCCTCTCGCTGTCCTCTCTCCCTCTCGCCCTCTCTTTGGCCCCCCCCTTTCACGTTCTCTCTGTGTCTCTCACTATCTCTGCCCCCCTCTATCCTTGATACAACAGCTGACCTCATTTCCCGATACCCTTTCCCCCCCTAAAAGTACAACATCTGGCCCGCCCCAGCCCGCAGACAGCCCGCCCTCCCCAAACAATCAGACGAGTCCCCCCCCCAAAAAAAGCCATCCCCCCGTTCTGCCCCGTCGCACATTCGGCCCCCGCGACTCGGCCAGAGCGGCGCTGGCAGAGGAGTGTCCGGCAGGAGGGCCAACGCCCGCTGTTCGGTTTGCGATACGCAGCAGGGAGGTGGGCGGCAGCTGCGCCGGCTTCCAGGTAAGCTGCGTGCGGGCCGGCGGGGCGGGGAGAGGGGCCCGGGCAGGCCCGGGGTGGGGGTCTGGGGGTCCGGCTCCCTGTGGCGAAGCCCGCGCTCTCCCCTGCGCCGCCGAAGTGGGGGTGGGTGGGTAGGGGCTTCGGGAAGTGCTGGGGAGGTGTGAGCTGTCTGCAAAGGCGACTTCCTGGTCGGTTTGTGGGTGCAGGGGGGTGTTGCTGAGAGTCTGCGATCCGTGCCGTGTGGGGGAGGGCGCTGTCCCCCAGGGTGTTGGGTAATGAGGAGGGGCGCAAGGCTCAGAAACCCACCCTGGTATGTTGACTCCGTGCCAGCAAGACTGAAGGAGGAAAACGGGGTGGGCGGGGCCAGGATGGAAGAGGGGGCGAGCTGGCAAAAGGCTCAGACGAGGCGCCACATTTGCAGTTGACCCCCCCACACACGCCCCCCCTTTCCCTGTCCCCAACATTTCCACCAAGGAATCTGGGGAGAGGGGCCGGTTGGAAGCTCAGATGAGCAGGAGCGTACAGCCCATAGAGGGTAACTGCCCCTGCCCAGTGGGCAGATGGAACTTTCCATACAAGGAGGTGTAAAGCAGCCCCCCCTCCTTCCCCTCCCCCCCACATTGCCTTGTGCCTAGATGGGCTGGGGGTGCAGGGTGAGCCCCCACCCCCACCCTGCGGTACTTCGCGGAGGGATGGTCCAGGGCTAGCTGTTGGGGGTGCAGGAGAGAAGGGACTGGCTGGGAGGACGGAGGGGGCGGGAGCAAAGGGGGCGGGGGGAGTGGTCAGCAGGGAGAGGGGTGGGGGGTAGGGTGGAGCCCGGGCTGGGAGGAGCCGGCTCAGACATAAAAGCTGGAGCACTGACCAGCCTGCAAACTGGACATTAGCTTCTCCTGTGAGGCAGCCTTCCAGCCTCCTCCTCCTCCTCCTCCGCTTCCTCCTCCTCCACCAGTCCCAGCAAGCCTCCTGTCCAGCTGCAGGTAACCAGGGCTGTCGAGCGAGGACCCCTCTGCTCTCCCGCTCCGGCCTGCCAGCCTGCTGATGGCCTCGGGCCTCAGCCCCTCCACCTCTCCTCTCTGCCTCTATCCTCCTCACCCCTACCCTCCCTCCTCCTCTCCCTCCTCCGGCGCTTGCTTACCTGGCCCACACCTCTGCCTGCCTCATGCCTCTCCTCCTCGGGCCTCTGCTCTCGGCGGGTGCTCTGGACCGGACCCCGCACTGGAGTGGCCGGGCTTGCAGAAGGACGCAGCTGCCGCTCGGCCGGCGCCCAGTCGCTAGCTGGCCAAATTGTTCTTAGAATTTGGAAGGGGGCAGCAGCGGGGGCAGCCTGGGAGCCTGGCTGGGGCCGGGGCCAGGGCAGGAGGAGGTGAGCAGGGTGGCACTTTAGATCCTTCTGTGGATCTGGCCACTGCTCTTCATCCAGTTTCAGCGGAGACTGCGCTCCCTTCTTATTCCCCCTTCTCTCCTGCATGATTTCTGGCATCAGAAAATTCCCTGGGCCTCCCATGCAGCAGCGGGGCTCCAGGCTGGAAAGGGGCATGCTGCTTGGACCCCCATGCCCACCCGGTGTGGAGCCTGGGAGGAGCACCTCTGGGCAGGCTGCCCGGTCCCTGGCTTGGGTAGCATCAGGGTGCCAGGGGCTCAGAGGCCCTGGGCCGTGACTGTCGCCCCAGAAGGGGTTTGTACCTGGGCCAGCGGAGGGCAGGCTGGGGCTGCCTGCCTGGATGTGGGGGGGGGAATCCACTTTCTAGAGGGAGCAGGGGCAGTTTGCTGTATCTACAAGAGAGCCTGAGGCCCCTCCTGAGCCCCCCAACCCTGGAGGGATCTGGTTAACCCTTGCCCGGGGCCTGCAGCTGCACAGCCTGTGCAGGGGGTGTGTCCTTCCAGGTTGGGCTCCAAGGACCTGGTGTCCAGCCTCCAGGTGGCCTGACCTGTTCTCTCCAGCTCCCAGGGTGGGCTTTGGTACCCCCGTGGGGGAGAGGGTCTGGTGATCCCAGAGGGACCTCGAGGCCCTGGGTGCTGTGATGCCAAGTGTGCAGAGGAGGCTTCTAGCCTTTGTGTTTTGGGGTGCCCAGGGCAGACTGGAGTGGAGGACTGAGCGATTCAGGAGAACAAGGCCCCTGGGAGTGTGGTTGGCACCATGCGGTAACCACCGGATCCTTGACCTGAGCTTTGCGCAGCCACAGACTGGGAGGGTGGGGGAGGAGGCAGGGGTGGGACTGGCCCAGCAGGACCCCCTGCTGCTTGCGGGGGGTGGGGGTGGGGTGGGGAGAGGGTGGTCCTCTGGGATGCACATGCTCTGTGGTGGGGTGGGGCTGTCTGCCATCTTGGCTGATGCTGGGAGGTCCGAGGAGTGGCCACTGCCCTGTGCTGGCCCCGCCCCCATGACTTCATAGGACAGAGGCCAGGTTCAGTGTCCAGCACTGGCCCCTGCAGCTCTGGGTGTGGCTGAGCCCCTGCAGTGGTGACGATGGGGAGGATCACCCCCATGTGAAATTGCTGACCAGCACTTGGTACGGATCAGAGATGTGCTTCACACAGGTCGACTCAGCCTCGGGGCCACCGTGCACCCTGCCTTGGGCAGTGAGAGCATGTGTGATTTCTGTAATTAAAGTGGTCACATTTAGGAGGACACCATGCTCTAAACCGAACTTGGAATTAGGAGATGGCTAGGAGGGTGTCTCCGTCAGAGGGGGGGGCGGCCTCTGGCCCTGGACGTGGCCTGGGCGGGCAGGCTCATAGCCTCTTCTCTCCGCCCCCAGATGCCGATGGGGGTCCCGATGGGGAAGCCGATGCTGGTGCTGCTGACCTTCTTGGCCTTGGCCTCGTGCTGCTTTGCTGCTTACCGCCCCAGTGAGACCCTGTGCGGCGGGGAGCTGGTGGACACCCTCCAGTTTGTCTGTGGGGACCGCGGCTTCTACTTCAGTAAGTAGCTCAACGTGCGGTGGGGCAAGGGGGAGGGCGTACACAGCAGGGGATCAATAAATGCTGGAGTCCTCCGCACCATTTCCCAGACACCCAGGGTTACCCTCCGGGATGCCTGGTGTGGGGGGCCAGGTGGAGGGAAGCCACTGCAAGGTGGCGACCCCGGGCCCTCTTGTTCTGAGACTTCATGAGCACAACTGTGTCCACATTTATTGGGCACCTGCTGTGTGCCCGGGGGGTGCTCACACCCCTGATTTTCCTGCAGCATGACTCAAAGTAGAACACTCTCCTCCCAGGAAGGGTGGGATCTGCGTGGGGGCCAGAGCATGGCAGGCGTGTGGGTGGGGGTGCAGGGTGGGCTGGATGGGGTTGGGGGGGTAGGCCCTAGCAGGGAGGAGGACTTACCCTCCCTGCCTCCCCGGGACCTGCTTGCAGGCAGGGCTGTGAGCACTGAAGTTCCTCCCACATTTTCATGGTGCCTGACATTTTGACAGTGGGATTATCTGATTTAAAGTTAGATAAAATGGGTCGGAGACCAGTAAGAACAGAAGTGTCTGCCCGCACACCCCATGTGGGGGTGGGGGAAGAGAGGAGTGCCTGCCTACACAACAGCAGGGGGGGAGGGGACGTGCACCCCAGGGGCGGGCCACAATGTTGGGTGCCCACCTGCCCACCCAAGGGCTCTTGGGTTGTTCCTCCCGCTTCTCTCTTAATTTTCAACCCCTGGCAGACTTTCCCTGAGACCTCTGCTTCTCCTTGCCCCGTCCCTCTGTGGGACCCCCAAGTTGGAGGTGACCTCTTTCTTAGGGGTGTGGGCCCTTGCCCTCACCTCCCAGAAAGTTGGGCCTCAGTTTCCTCATCTACAGGATGGGGGGGGAGTGTTTATCTGGATAACAGGGGGAACGGGGGTGGGGGGCAGGCCCCGGCTGACCCTGAGGGTGGGGTGGGTGGGGGTGGGGACGTGACTGGGGTGAGTTGGCCACCGCCTGCGTGGTCAGGCCCAGCCCTCCTCCCGTAGCATCCCCCTCTGTCGCCTCTGCTTACCCACAGACGCCAGCCTTGGATTCTCAAAGCTCCTCTCTGAAAAACTCTCCTGCTTCTCCTTGTTTCTGAAGCCCTCCCCACCCTGGCCTCGCCTGTGCCCTCTCTCGCGCCCGCCTTGTTTGGGGGCAGGAAGTGTAGGGTCTGGTGCCCAGGGAGTGGGTCCCCTGCCGGGAGGGCTGGGCCCCCACCCGCGGGACCTGCTCCCCAGGGCGCCTGCCCTCGGCCCCCCAGGTGAGGGCCGGGACTCTTCCTCGCAGCTGACCTTGGAGCCTGAGCCGCGGAGGGACGGGGAGGACGGGAGGAAAGGAGGACGTGGTTTCATGCAGGTCCTCACTCCTCCCCTCCCGTCTTCCCCTTCCTCTCCCACGCCTGCGGCGTCTCGAGGGCTGCGGGCCGCCCAGGCTCCTGCTCTGTTCAGGGACGCCACTTGCGTCCCAGCCTGGCCTTCTGGATGGGACCGTGCCCCCAGTGCAGGGGCTGGACCCCTTGTGGGCGGCCCCCTCAAGCCGGGCTCCCCCCTCCGGCACATTTTCCTCACCTCCCTGGGCAGTGGGACCAGGAGGCTGTGTCCACCTTCCACGCGAGCAGGGAGGCACCAAGAGGCCAGGGGCTGGTCCTGGAGCA